TCTTTCGACTACATATGAAAATGTTTAAAGCAATTTAATATGAAAAAAGACAAAATTGGTGATGTATGTTTGATAATCACTACTTCCAATATGTTTGATTTTAGCACAAAATTAATGCACTGAAAATGTGTAATTGCACACAAGTGAAACAAGGCATGAACCATATGATATTGACACACAAGTGAAAATTGTCATAACTTGTACAGTGTTACATAATTATTTGCGATAATACCAAAGGGGTGATGAAATATTTATGGTCTATAAGCATGAAAACATAGTTGCGAATGATATTGACCAACAAATGGCTCAAAGTAACAATGTTGGTTTGTCTTCACGGTCATATGATAGAGAAATGCAAGTTCAACGTGAGAAGATTGTCCTTACTATGTAAGAGGATTATATTAAAGACTAGCACACTACAATTTATGTTCAATTTTTTTTATTGAATTAAAGTTTGATCAATTAAAGTTAGATGAAACAATCAATTATATAAGTGAGAACATGTAGCTTTGTAATAATTTATTAGGCGATTTTATAATTTTTTGTTTATTTGGTAAGATTGAATAAACAATTGGGGTTATTTTAATAGTTTTACAACTTATGAGATTCTTATGTTTATGAGAAAATATACAACACAAAAATTTCATATCGCATGTCCAAACAAAACTTCAATTTTATCTCATAATTTCATATTATGATAGTATATCATGATTCCATATCACATGGCCAAACAGACCCTTATAATATTTCATAATTTGGTATAACAATGTAAAATATATATAAATATCTCCTATACACAATTATATACTTGTATACAAAATTAATATATTATAAGTGCATGATATTGTATAATCTTATATGTTAGGTGTATAAATATTATTACAAAAAAAAGTTTGAAAATAAAGGTTGTTTTCGTTAAATCTTTGCAAAAAAAAAAAAAAAAAAAACAATACAAAGCAGAAGATTGGTATATGGATATATCTTTTAAATATGATTTGGTGAGTGCATAAATTATATGTTGGCTGTAATATATGTTTTAAAGAGATTTTGTACTCCGTCTCATATTATAAGTCACCCTTTTCTAAAAATAGCTGGACCACAATATATGTCATTTTATAAAATTTATGCATAAATTACCATATTTTGCCCATTATATCCTTGATTGATTAATTAATTAATCTTGAAAATGTATTTACTTTGACTAACCTAGGAAATCTACAAGTAATTAATTTCATTGGGAGAGTACTTCATTCATTAATTAACTACTTTCTTTATTCACTACTTATTTTATAAAATCTAATTTTGAAAACAAATATCAACAAACAAATTAAAAATAAAAGATGAAAAAAAATTAAAAATAGTCTTGAAAGTTGAAGCTTCAACAAATTTTATCAAGGAAGATGATATTTCAAAAAGTTCAAAGGATGTAAAAATAGAAGACTCAACCAAAACATGTGAAGGCCAAATTGAGAAAAATCAAGATCCAAATAAAGGAGTTATGCACCATTTAAATAAATAAACAAATGATTTGTCGAACTAAACTAAAATTCATTTGTCGTCTAATTTCATTATCAATAACATCAGATTCAGCAGGAAAATTCAGATCAATTTAAAGTAATGGAATTTGAATATTTTGTGATGTTTTCAAGTTTGCTTTAAGAATTTATATATAAAAATATGAAAAAACATTTTACACAAAATATATAGGAAAATTAAGGTGGGAAAAACTTGATTTTTAAAAAAATTTGGATCAATTGGTGAAAATTTTTGGCTCCAAAAAGTAAAATTTAAACAGTCATTCAAATGCATTTATATTTTTGAAATCTAGCATTCCATCATTTATTTCAAAGTTGTCATAAGCAAACATTAAATAAGGGCATAAGAATAAAATTACCTTAATTCTTAATGAAAGTGCAAATAGAAAAGGCGACTTATAATATGGGACGGAGGGAGTAATATTAACGGCAATCCTCTCTTAATTACAATACATGGAAAGGAAATGCCATTTTCAATATTCGTATTCGCAAAACACGTACACTTATTATACGTATACGACAATTTTTAATATTAATATAATATATCTTTCAGATTATTTTTTTTAAATCACATGTATAAAGCACACGAAATTAAAGGTGATTTTATTTTCATTTCATCTGTAAACTTTTTTTTGCTCAACATTTACCTAGTTAATAAAGTATATCAAACTCAAACAATTATCATATTCGCCGCAATAATTTACCACCTTAATAAAGTATATCCAAACCTAAACAGTATAATTTTGAAAATAGTTTTCACGAATAAAATATTACTCCTATTGATATTGTCATCATATTATATTTATTTGGAAAATCACCACTTCATTAAACAATTGAAGTTGTACAAAGAGTTACTATAAATATTTTTTTGTACTTAATCTTATTAAGTGTCACGTCTTTACTTTTTCATTAAATCTTATCTTTCTTCATTCACATATTATTATGGTAATTTTTTTTATCTATATTTAGTATTTACATTTAAGTAAACGATTAACTTTAGGCATTTTAGAAGTAAACTTGAACTTACATATTACTATATTATAATTATGATTTATGGTGAAGTGAAAAATACTATTTTTAAAAGATATTTATTTTTTATTCTTTGATTTAGTCTCGACCACTCTTTGATAGAAGAGTGGATTGTCAATATTAAGTAATTGGGAGGACGTGGCACGTGAGTACACAAATAATTATATTCCTCGTTTGCCGGCGAATATTCCACGCTGCAATAAAGTGGAGTAACAAAAAACATCATAAATTTTTAAAATTTTCTTTTTTGACTTTTACCTTAATAGTTTAAACACTTCTTTTTTCTTCTAATTTCAATTCAATCAAATTTCGTCGAATACCTTTTTTGCAATAAAATATAAAGAAATATAATTTTATTAATAAAAATATTGTAAACATAAATCTGTTTGTTTTGTTGATTCTTTTATTTGGATTTCCTTGAGATTTTTTGTATCTCCTGTAAAGAGGATATTGTGAATTTTCTTGAAGTATTTAGATGTCTAGAAAAATATTTTTTGTGAATATTTTATGAATTTATGAATTTTTTGAAATATCTCTTGAAGGAATATATTCCTCTTTCTATAGACATAATCTAGGACTTACTCCAACAAAATTTCGATGTATACAACCTTATTCAATATTTCAGTAGTATTCTAAGTATCGATATTTTAATGGTCGCAAAAAAAAAAGTTGGAATTTTAAATACATGGATTAACTATCCTGGGACAACTTATCACATGACTATGGTATAAATGGTGAGATAAGTTATTCCAAACATGACAATCAAATAAGAAACACATTTTTATCCCATTACTATTTATTTTTATCCCACAAATTTTTTATCTCATCACTATTTATTTTTATCCCTCACACCAAACGACCCCTGAATGTTGAATTATTGACAACCAAAAAAGGATGCTTCTTTCATTAGAGTTAATTGATAGTATTATTCTTATATATTTTACTATAATAAATAAGTTAATTTGATGTGATGCGGTATCAATTTATGATGGTGAATTTCATAGACTAGAAAAAGGTAGATGGAATGTGTCACCGTTAAATCAATATAAAAATAAATTATTTATCGGCGCTCATGTCTCTTCAGATTCCTCGCCGATGTTCCCTCTCCCTGTCGTTTTCTTTATCCAAATTGATACCGCAATTATATCTTCATGTATCTATAATTTACATAAATTTTATTAGTTTAAAGAGTTTTTTTTTAAAAAAAAGTACACTAAATTTAAAGAGTCAAATCAAATTACTAGTTCAAAAGTTAATTATTTAAATTTACTCTAGTTTATAATATAATGAATTTTACTAGATTTTGGATTTTAGATACATTGTATCTGGCGCATTCAGTTAATTACATCCAAATACATAGAATCAAAATTATGTGTAATTCGTTTTAGATCTATACATTGTATCTAAGTGAATTCATATGTATTTGACTCTCTCGCTCACCTCTCTCCCTATATTTGGTAGATACATGTATCTAGTGTGATTCACATGTATTTAAGGAGTTAATATCTTAAAAGGTCATTGAACTGTGATAAATTATCTAGTTAATACATTGAACTTTGTTTTATATCAATAAAATCACTTAACTTGAAGTTTTTATCTTTAAAAATCACTCAACTACATTTATCATTAGAATAAACTTGAAATAGCAAAAAAAAAAAAATTATTTATGATTTATAAACATGAATCTCATAAATAAACAATTTTCTAAACTCTGTATTTAAGATACATATACTATTAAATTTATTTTAATGATAAATATAATTTTTATAGATAAAGACCTTAAGTTGAATGATTTTGTTGATATAAAACAAAGTTAAATGACTTTGCTAGATAATTTCTCATAGTTTAATGACCTTTTATAATATTAATTCTGTATTTAAGACACATTTACTATCTCGCTCGCCTCTCTCCTTTAATTTTTCTCGTTTGCCTCTCCTCTATTTTAGTGTATCTGGTAGCAAAAATACATGTATATATGTATCTGATTAGATATTTGTAATGAAATTATTAATTAATGAGATAATATGTAATTATTTCAAACTATAGGGAGAATTAATAAATATAGTAGTATTATTTGTCTAATTAAATAGTTTTTTCCATTTCGTATACACTTTATTTCGATTCTTTTGTAACTCATAATTATGTAAAATTATGTTAGTTGATATTTTTTTTCATTATAGACAAACTAATAAGAATCCCTCCTCACTTTAATATTATATATATATAGGTTATACTGTTTCATTTAAAAATATTAAACCATCAGAAGAGACATCTTTATTTATTTATTTAAAGTTTGTCAAATGGAAACTCCATTTGATTCTCTTCTTCTCTTTATTGAATTTGTATCCTTGTGATCATTGAGGATTCTTGGAACATTGTACTAAAATTTGAGCTATTTTTGTTGCTTAAATTTCAGTGTTTGTGGGAATAGTATATATGTATAATGCAATTGATGGGGTGGGAAGAGGGGGAAGTTATTTGTATGAGAATGATGGGGTGATGATGACAACAGACCCAAAGCCAAGATTGAGGTGGACTGCTGAATTACATCAACAATTTGTTGATGCTGTCACAAAGCTTGGTGGTCCTGATAGTCAGTACTCTCTTTTAATCTTGTTTCATTTTGTGCTAATAAATGTTTGGCCATCTTTTTCTACTTTTTGAGTTGGGGATCACTGAATTCACTTACAACAACAATAATAATATACTCAGTGTAGTCCCACAAGTGGGGTTTGTGGATGGTGGTGTGTATGCGGACCTTACTTCTATACCTTGTGAAGGCAGATCAGAGAGATTGTTTTCGAAAAGACAATTACTGAATTCATTTGTAGTTCCAAAATTATTTCTCTCAGACTTACAGTAGTGCAACTTTTAAGTAGTAATGAACAGTTGTTCTGATCCGATTCGAGTGGTTCTTTGATTCATTTTAAATTTTGCAAGTTGGTTTGGAATGGTGTTATGTATGTAGTAGAGAGGTATTCTTTGAAAAAGAATACTTTTTGCAGCCATTTTAGCTCTTGATTATTACTTTATCAATTGAATGAGTATTTTCTATGCTATTTGGTTAATCTCAATGAGTCTACAATTAGATTGACCCCAATTTTGTTTCTGATATCCTGCTATTCATTGATCCACTTTTAGATCGATGTCCTTTTTGAGATAAAAGTTGTTAGTTGAGTGACTGTCTGAGAAATTAACTCGGGAATATGTGGAAAGGACTAAAATCATGTCAAGGCTGTCAATTCTGCTAATTGGAGTATCCTCTTATCTCTATTGCTTGAGATATCTTTGTCCACCTTTGACTTAGATAGATTTAGCTTCAGGAGGTAAACTAGATAGTTAAAATATGAATTTTACATGCCTTCACTTGCCTGTGCTAAGTGAATTTTTGCATTTGGAATCATTTTTTGTTATACGCACGGCGATGTTTGATGGAGAGTCTTGGATTTACAGAAGCAACTCCCAAATTAGTACTGAGGTTGATGGGCTTGAAGGGCTTGACACTATACCATTTGAAGAGTCATTTGCAGGTAAAAGTTTGTTTCTATGCCTTGTTTTTTTCAATTTTTTCTTTCTCTGATAACCACTTTGGATGTCTTTTACCTTGTATTTTCAGAAGTATAGACTTGGACAGCTGGCCAAGAAACAAAATACAGCAGAGGCAAACAAAGAGAACAGCGGTGAGTTTACTATAATTTTGAGAATTTCCAACAAAGAGCATAATAATGTGCTACATAAAACCTTGCCTATTGATTATAGAAATAGTCAACTTTGTATGATCTTTGTATGTTCGTTAAGGCTTCTCGTGTGTAGATTCGTTATGATGAAATCTTATCATGATTGCATTGTGTTCTCCGATTCCACAGGGGACTCCTCTGGACAGTTTGGTTTGCATTCCTCAGGCCCCAGTACCTCTTCATTAAGTATGAACTTTATGCAAGGGTAGGTAACAACATGTTGTGTGCAATTGGTTTGCTAATGCCTCAATAGACCTTATTATTAGGCTTAAATTTACTCGGTTAATCTGTTGACTTCTCGCTAATGAATGGCACCTCTGTCTAAACAGAGAAGTCCCAACCACGGAGGCAGTAATGTGTCAGATTGAAGTTCAGAAAAGATTACAGGAGCAGCTTCAGGTATGCATAAACTTATTTACTAGCACCATTCGTATTCCTAATGAGCGTAAATCATGAAAACATACAAACACTGGATGTGATGATCCTAATCCTGTTCTTCTAGCTATGTTTAGTCAACATTCATTGGCTTTAGGTCACCGATTCTAATAGCAAGATTAATTCTCGCTAACCAGGTGCAACAGAAACTGCAAATGAGAATAGAAGCACAGGGTAAGTATTTGCAAGCAATATTAGATAAAGCTCAGAAGAGCCTTCCAGATAACATGAACTCTCCTAGTGCACCGGAAGCAACAAGAGCCCATCTCACTACTTTCAATTCACCTCTGTCAAATTTAATGGATTACACAGTACATGGAGAGAACCGGGACAACAACATAGAGCAAAAGAAGGATATGAATCTTTATAAGCTCAAAGAAGATTCCATTAATTTCGATTTGAACTCCAGAAGTAGCTATATATGATTTTATCAATAATTGTTCTGTCCACACAAGATTATTACATAGTACATTATTTGCTCAAATTTTTCATTCATTGAAGAAACACAAAATTCAATCATATTGAAGCTAATTAAGAAAGCGTTTTAGATATTCGTCCATACGAGTATAACAAACTTCAGGGTAGAGAGCAGAGGCTTCTTCAGCATTTTGTCCAATTTCAAAGTTAGTTAAACAACCTTCATAGAATATGTGGTAGAAATGTCCCACTCCTACCTGCCCAGCATAGTCCATTTCTGCATCAAATACCGAGTCAGATCTCTCTATAACAGTCGTTCTCGACAATAACATTTTACTACAATAGTTAAGTTTTCTTGTGGAAACGATTATTAATGTTATATTATATGTTCTCTGTAATAACGTTTCACTATTGCACATGAGTCTTGTTCTTTTGTTTTAGTGAGAGCGAATGTTTTTGAATTATTAAATATTGTTTTGAAAAAAGTGAGTAAAGATTCTTTTAGTACAAAAAATTAAATTAATGAAAAGCATAACTAGGAGGGAACAATTTTCAGAGGGCAGTTTTACTACATTCTTTTGAACTAAATTAATGCACTTAAACTTTTGCAAGCATCAATCAGCTACTAGTAAAATATATATTATACTAAGATCTTCTTGAAATTATATTTACATATTCAACTGCACAGGGGCGGTTCTAAGGCATGGCCAGTGAGGCCATTGCCTTAGGCCTCAAAAAATTGAAGGCACCAAATTTATTTAAATTATTATTATTAATTTTATTATATATTAATATAATTTATATAAATAAAATTGTTATGGTATATTTTTTATTATTATTTGTTTGAGAGTATTTTTTACCAATAAGTTTATAAATTCTTATAGTTTTTTCACTCATTATTTGATATATTTGTTTTAACTTCCAATTTTAAATTAGTATATCCTTTTTATATTGGAACTAAGTTATATATATTGATAACATAATTAATTTTTTTCAATCTTTTCTTAAACTACGTGAACACAAAAATATTCATGCACAAGTTTCCTTTTCATTTTAATTTAATACTCACTTTGTCCCTAATCACTTGTCCATATTTCATTTTTTAGTTATCCCCAATTACTTGTCCATTTTGACAAATCAAGAAACGACAATTTTTTTACCTATTATACCCTAAATTAATTACTTTGAAAAAAGATAGAACTTCTTGAAAATATTAAGTTTTTAATTCATCCATTTCATAATTAATAGGGGTAAAATGATAAAGTCACTATGTCAATTATTGATTTCTTAATAGGTGTGCCAATTCAAAAGTGAACAAGCAATTAGGAACAGAGGGAGTATATTATATGAAAATTTTATAATTTGTTTTAGATATTCACCAATGAGTGCTACTTAATGGAATGAATTATATCATTTAAAAAGAATTATATCATTTAAATTGATCAGAAATTTGAATATTTTTGTTACTATCCATGCTCAAAACTTCAACTATTAAGTTATGTATGTTCTTTTCTTTTTATTATTTGTGATGATAGCCAAATTAAAATTTCAATTAGAGTTTTGAAGCTTAACATCAATAATCCATCACTTTTATTTTTTGTACTCTTCTTCATTTCTTTTTTTGTGTGAAATTTGATATTTTTTTTGTCTTAAATGATTAATCTATTGTGTAGAAAATAGATTTTCTTGTCAGTGTATAAATTTTATAAAATAAATTTAAGGGCCTCTTAATATAATTTTGCCTTAGGCCACAAGATTTGTTGAACCGCCTACTGCATAAGATGCACTACTATATATTACAAATTCTTACAGTTAAAGCATATATATATATATATATATATATATATATATTCTCTTTCATGTTAAACAAATTTTAACTGTTATGCTAAATCAATTTAAAGATATTCTTAACATGATGTAATATTGTTTGTCTTGGTCAAACCTGCACAACTTTTCCTCAAAACGCTTCACAACATTAAGAGATTATACACCTTATATGTAACTTCTCAATCTTTTTAGCTATCAATGTGGAACTTGGTTCACACTCCCAATAGAAATCTTATTATATAAATGTTATCATATATTTAACACCACCTGTTTTAAAAATGATTTTCATTCTTAATTTTTTTCATTAGACCAAACTATATCACATAAATTAAAAGGCCGAGTAGTTATAAGTACCTTTCATGGAAGATAGGAAATCTTGTTCAGAGATGCTAATTTTCTCAAGTTGTGTCCCTTTAAGGTTTTCCCACTTGGCTATCAGTTCCCTTTGAGTCATAATGTTTTCTGGTGGTCTAAGGTACACTGTCTTGTTCATTGTCTTTGGATCATCTATGCTTTTTATAGTGTATGTTGCCACGTCATCTTCATCCATGTACACCACTGAATAAAAATAACCCAAATAAGAAAGACAAAAAAGAGAGTCAAATTTTACAAAATATAAAAACTATATTATAAGTACTTTACTTATAATAAAAGCTACTCCATTCGTTCCATTTTATAAAATATTATTTATTTTTAATCTGTTTTGAAAAGAATAATGACTTTTTTATATTTTGAAAACTATTTCACTTTGACAACCCACTCCACCCTTTAAAGGCACTGTCTTTTATATATCCGTAATTGGTATATAGAAATGTTGCTACTTTCATATCTTATATTGTATAATATTATTTGTCAACGCTATTAAAATATGTCTCAAATTACTTGTTAACTTAAAAAATTAATATGTTATTAGTTGTTTTTTTAATTTTACTATTAAAAATAATTCTTTTTGAAAATGTAAATAATATCAATCCCCTATATAAATATTATAAAGTTCCAAAAGAGTTACTCTATGTCTAAATTTTGGTATTGATGGATAAGGTATATGTATCTAAAAGAGTTAAAAGGTAGATTAGTAAAAATTCACTTTTAATTTATTGATGATTTCTTAAAAAACATGCCAAGAAAATTTTAAAATGGACATGTAATTAATATGAGAAAATTGTCAAAGAAAAGACAAGTAATATAAGCCAAAGAAAGTATAACATATTTAAGATATATATCACAATTAGTTCTACAAATTTTAATAAATCAAAAGTTTTTATAAAAAAACTATGTGTTCAATCAAACACCATTGATCGTCATATCAAATATAAAATGGAGATATAATTATTTTAAGAAAAGTAAAATGTATAGTACCTTTAACATTGCCATCTCCATAGAGACAAACTTTGTCTTTAGGAGGAACAAGAGTTCCAAGTTGAGAAAGGTTGCCAACAAAATAACCAGCAAAGCAATTAGCAGAAATGTAAGTATAAGGAATATGAGCTTCTTCTATGGCTTTTCTCACTTCCATTTTCTCATCAAATGTTACTCTTCCTGGTTCTATTGCATCTCCCATTAGTGCTGGATCCATACCAAATTCCGATGGCAAAAATCGCTGTCAATTTTAATTAATATGAGTATCATGATAAAATATGTACATACGTACGTTATTTATTGTTTCTTAAGTTATGTGTGAAGTTCATTGGGTACGAACAAAAGTGAACATGAAAAAAGTATATGTACAAATAATAGTTTGTGGATGTGAAAATTAAAGCATAATTATTGATAATTTAATTAAGTTTGCATGACGTAAGAATGGTTTAAGTGTGATGAAAGCATTAAACTGTATCTCATCTAGAAGCTTGGGAGAATTACAAAGTGGTCACTGAAGAGTGTAGACTACAAATTAGAGAAGAATGATTAAGGGTGAATAAATAATTAGTAATTAATTAATTAGCCATCCTTATGAGTCAAATCAAAGTTTCATCACTAATATCCACCAACTTCACCTGTTCTAGTGGTCTTTTGTCAACTTTTTAGATATTTCATGTATATATTTTTTAAAATTTATCTGCTTATATTTATGGTATAAGAAGACTAAATAATATATTTGATTGACTTGTAAGGTTATTTATTTGGAAGATTAAAAATTCTAGATTCGTCTTTGAATTTACTTCTCAGTCCAAATTTATATGATGATGATTACTTGTTCTTTGATAAATTATTTTGGAAAAATTATCTAAATACACATCTTATTTTCTCATAATCTTTGAAATTTCCTATCATTTAAAAACTTTTCAAAAATTTCTATTGGATACATCACTCTCCTCTCATTGATACATTCCTATCCCCCTCTCGGATACACCCCTCACCTATGTATCCTGATGACTGTTGATGTATCCGAAAGTCCAGAGATGTATCCGGATGTCCTCTGGCAGTTCAGAGATGTATCCTTATGTCCTATCTCTTCACTGATACATGCCTCCCCAGTCCCCTCTCAAATACATCTCTCATCTATGTATACGGTTGTCTGCTAATGTATCCGGAAGTCTAGTGATATACCCAAAATCTATAAATTTTAAGGGATTTTTGTAATTTTGGAAAAAAGTAGGGAAATAATGTAATTAACTCTTAACAATATGGGATTTAGGTGAATTATACTTTTTTTACATGCCTGTTAAATATTTTAAATTGTTGTAATTTATAGCACTTTTTATGTAAATTTTAAATATATAAATTTTATTTTAAAAAATGTCTGTTCAAAACATACATTAAAAGTCCATAATTTGAATTTTGAAAATCGAAAAACATCACATAATTTAAGACAAGCTATTGGAGTATATATTTTTTTTCTCTCTTATTTGCCCTTTGTTCTCCTTGGCAAGATTTACAAAATAAATACATAGATTCACTATTTGACCATCAAGATATCGAATTTGAACTATAGTCTATAAATAATTAATATGAGTACCTTAATGTTTCCAGCTTCTTTAATGGCCTCAACCAACTTGAGTTGCAACAATATATTGTGACTTCTGAAATGCACACCGGACATGGTGCATATAACAACATCCACCTCTTTGACAGCCTCTACTAGGCTCCGGTGGTCGGAGAACGAGGCCTCGACAAGTCGAGCACCTTGCTCTTTGAACGACAACAACATCTGTAGTTTGTCGATGTCGAGGCCGATCTCCGGCCGTTGCAGGACATACGTTGTATGTCCTGCAGCTAAACTAGCCTTCACAATCCTCTTGCCTATATAACCGGTTCCACCTACAACAAGAACCTTGCTTTTTACCATTGTGTAAAATCTTGTTATTTTGGAGAAACTAAGTTATGACTATTTATATTGTGAAATTTGCTAAATTTTTTTCATATTTTTTTTCAAAGGTGTGTTTGAAAATGTAGATGAAATATAAGATTTTAATTAATTACGTAGTACTGTAGTAATTAGGCAACGTGTCTTTGTCATTACTGTGGATCTTGTTAAATAGTGATGTCTTAATGTTGTCAACTTTAATGATATTGTACGCACAAACAAGAAACGAGACATTTTAAACTTTCTGTCCATTTTTATTTGTCATGTTGATGCTTTTCAAAAGTCAATTTGACTAATTTTTAAAGTTAAATTAGATTACATTAATTCGATATTGTAAACAAAAAATTTAGATATTCAAAAACTATACGAAAAGTACTATAAATTGTAATTTTTTGCATATCAATATGGTGAAAAAAATACATCGTAATATGTTAGTCAAAGTTTTTATAGTTTAACTCTAAAAAAGGAAATTATGACAATTAATAGTGAATTGGATGAAGATAGTATTAAGGAAAAAACAAATTAAATAAAGCGATACTATATGAATAAAGACATCATTAATGGGTATTTGAATTTTCTTTTCCTTTTATTAATGTGTTTTTTAGGTAGAGACTGTAAAATGTAAGAATCACGACATTCACAACTAGGGGTGGTATGGTACTTTATGTAATTTTAGTTTTTGAATTTTAAAAACATTATATTATTATTATACTAAATTAATTCAGTATGATTTGATATTTTACAATTTGATTTTGATATTATGCGATGCGAAAGGATCGACTTTAACTTTTATATATATATATATAGAATAGAGAATTATGACTTCGACTTTTCAAAATTCCATCTCAAATTATATTGATACTAACATCTTCACAGGTAAAACATTAATTGTTTGGTGATTCAACAAACCAAAGAGATCAAGGTTAGGTATTTGTCTTGGAAGAAAGTCGTTTTAGTAACCCCTGCAATTGTCACATTTTGATTAGTTTAAGTGTATGCACCAAAGTCCAAACTAACCAAAACGTGACAGTTGCATCGATCACTTTACATTATTCTAAAATCTATTTAATTTTGACACCTCCTGCTAATTAGCTCAATTTCCAATTTAATGTATGTTACTAGTATGATAATTTTACATGCTTTTAACTGATTAATTAAGATATATATATATATATATATATGTGATCTATAATATCTCCAAACCAATGAGAGATTTACTCTATTTATTTTCTCTCTCTCCCTATATGAGATATGAATTGAACGGGAATTTTTAATGGTTCAGTTGATTAACTACTTAAACATTCACTTGTTAGTGAAAGTATAAAAAGAGTATCCCCTCCTTTTTTTGAGTTCCAATCTTGTTCGCCCCCTTCCCTACCTTTTCCCTCCCTACATGACGCTTATAATTTTCTAAATCCTATTATTTTTTTTAAAATTATGTTAAATTAGGTAATTAAATAAAATTATTTATATTGTCGAGTAAAATTTTTATAATAGAATACGGGGGCTTGAATTTCGATATCGAATTAACTAAAATTTGAGATAAGACACAGAAATAAATATATTTGGAACCTAAACTCTAATCCATCTTAAAATTTAACTGAAGTGATAATTATCCAAGATTATAACCACTATGGAAACTCTTACCAACTTTGATATGATGGTTAATTATGTCAAGTAGGGGTGTACAAAACCTAATCGAAAGCTGAACCAAATCGCAAATTGAGTCAAACCGAAAAAAAATCCGATCACTGGTTGGTTTGACTTGGTTTGGTGTTGAAAAAAAAAAACCGACTATAGTTGGGTTGGTTTGAGTTTAACTAAAAAAAAACCAACTCAAGACCAAACCAACCCGACATTATATATCTAATTTTAACATTTTATTTTATACATAAAAAATATTTACTTTGATATAATTTTTAAATATTTCTTATACTTTTTCATAGTTTTTATCTTTTAATATATTATTTCAAGTTTGAAACTTAGAATTTTGAATGGTTCCATAAAGATTATAGTCCATAGATGTTGGTAATTGTAATAAAACTTAAATCAAAATCAAATTAATACTAATGCAAAAAGAAAATCAATTTAACACTAAGAATGACAATAATATTGAATATTTGTTCTTTGGTTTTACATTGGTTTAGACAATTAAAGTACATAATCTAATTTTAATTTTCTTTAATATTTAGCCATGTAACTAATACTTATTTTAGCATGATTTAGTACTTTTAAATTATGATCATTTTCATTATGACTTGTTAATTTGCAATATTTGTTTTACGCGATCTCATTATTATTATTATTATTTTGGATATTTTAGTGTCATTAATCATATCATTGTTTGTGTTGTATTCTTAAGAAACACCTTAGATAGTTGTATTTTGGTAGGACTGAAGAAATATTTGAAGTACAAGTAAATTATATGTTTGTATGAATACTTTAGCGGAAAAACCCGAAAATCCGAAAAAATCCGAAAAAATCCGTGGTTGGAAAACCCGAGTTTTATTGGTTTGGTTTGGTTTATAGATTTAAAAATCCAACATAAATAGTTTGGTTTGATAGTTGAAAAACCCGAACCAACCGACCATGTACACACCTAATGTCAAGATGCAACAAGGATTTATTTAAATTTTCTCTCCCAATCTTGCTTACTCAACACAATTGAGTATTTGATTTTCATGAATTTACAAATGTTATGGAAATATTTTGTGGATTATATTAAGCATCCGTTGACCCTTTTCATTAGAATGATTTGGAGGATGAAATGATTGGTTAACATCGTAATTATAGCAGCCTGCCACAAAACGGTATTACCTCGAAAAAAGAAAAAAACCAATAAATAAGAATTAGTTAATACTCCCCCATATTAGTTGATCATCTTATTAACATGTGAAAAGAAAAATGAACAACTAATATGGAATGGAGGGAATAATAGTTTGACTTATGTATCCTGATGTCATGTGATCTATCCGGAAGTCTAGTTATGTATCTAGAAGTTTAGTAATGTATTCGAAATTCATAAATTTTAAGGGATTTTTGTAATTTGAAAAACAATAAGGAAATAATGTAATTAGCTAGCTCTTAAATTATGAGATTTATATAAATTATACTTAACTAAATGTAATGCTTTGATAATATATTTTTATTAAATGTTTCTTTCACAAACCCAATATAGGATTAGTGTTCAACCATGCATTGTTGAAGTTAGAAATTTCAAAATTTGAAATTATTTTTTTTGCAAATAAGCTCTGTTTCGAGTGGCTATTGTTGCAAAAGATCGGTTACGTACTGATGAGCCTAAATCTAACTTTTTTGGATGATTTGGTGCAGTTTCTGAAGTATTTTTGGATGAATATGATGTTTGAATTTAAGAAAAAATATGAAGTCAATTTTTTGTATAATAGTGTATAAGATCGTATATTATTGTATATGAGTGCATAATTACCTCTTATAATTTTGTAATACTGTATATTGGGTATATAATGTTGTATATCATGTTTTTAAACATTTTGGTAAAAATAAAATATGAAAGTTTTCTATGTTCTATGTTAATGTATACCGGATGTATATTGTTGTATATTAAATTGAGTTTTGGGCTATATTTATACAATATAAATTAGGTAATTGTACTTTTCTGAAATTTTCCAATATGAAAAGATGAAAAATAATACTTTTAAAGTATATAAAAATTTCCTAGGGAATATACGACCCAAGAAATAATATTAATGTATTGGGTTGTTTGGTAAGCAGAATAAAATGTCATATATCAACATAATGTTGTGATTGATCATTTTATATTTTGTTTGGTTGATATTGGATAAATTTGTCTAGTCAATCAAATACAAAATAAATTCAACCCCAACCTTAATACTGAAATATCCATCTTATCTCATCAAACTTTGAATAATTTTATCCCATATCCTAAATAAGATAAATTAATTTCAAAACTATAATCTCAATACTATATCCCGAAATAATTTAGTCTACAAATGAAATGTATTATTAAATAAGACTTTCTTGATTTTAAAGAGAAGCTAGAGGTTGCCCTACCAAATACTGTAGTATTTCTCAAGTTAAAGTCATACATCTCCTTAAGTTACCTTCTCATAATTGTTCATACTTGACGTTTATAAAAGATAGATAATGACAAGTTAGGCTACACAATATTTTTTTTCAAATACTTCTAATATTTTTGAAAATAATTAATAAATCATTAAGCACTCTTTACATTTTTATTCAAACTTACCTGCACCGGGTGTATACACCAATCCAATACATGCATGCCATGTGTTTAAATTTATACTAGTTCATTTTACTAAATCTTAATTAATTATCTTGTGTTTTACTTGATTAAATTACACAATAATGAAAATTGTATTAATTTGGTGTATACATCCGGTGCGGATAAGTTTTTCAATCAAATTATCAGAATTGAAACCAAGCTAATCTCTTCGATTTCACAATAACTTACAAATTAATAAGCAAAGAAAAGCTTAATTAAAATCAAGGAAAACTATGTTATCGTAACTTCGTGTCTTAGTTTCAGCAGAAAAGAAACATCTTAATGTCCCACAAAAAGGAATAAAATCTATAAATAACAAAAGAAAACCTATACTTCAAGATAAAACCGACAACAGAAAAGAAAAGAAAAACAAATTAATTAAGGGTGCATTTGATACGGAGGAAAATATTTTCTCAAAAACGGTTTCTAATTTTTCTATGTTTGATTGGTCCAAAATGTTTTCAAAAATATTTTCTCTAAGAAAACAAATTTCTGAAAAATGAGGAAAACGACTTTCCTAATGAATATAGAAAAACAAGTTTCATAAGTAGTGACATTCCACGTTCATTTTGTCTTGATCTCACCCATGGCAATTAGGAATTTTGCTAAGGATATTCAAAAATTTAATATATATCTCTAAAAAGATGTTTCGAGTTATATACACAATATTATTTTCTATTTATATAATATAATTTTTCGACGAATGGTATTCAATTATCTTGAGTCTAC